ATCTCAAAATAATCATTTTTTTAGCCCACGATGAGCCGACAACTTGGATCCCTCCATCGCTCAAATTCCCACCCAGCCAACCTCCAAACTCCAATCCCAATCATACCACTTTTTGCTTTCCCACCACACGGTTTTCCGATTATTAATATATCATCAAGCACGAATTCTGATACTAACTCAGATATTTCAGTTTTATATTCTATCTCACAATTTAATAAGTCTAATGTAGAAACCCCCGACGAATTTGCAGACTCCAAACCATCTCCTTCAAATTATACCCAGACCAACTCCTCAGTTTTTTCAAAACCCCCTTTTCAAACAATCCCATCTAATCATCCACTCCCATCCATTTCCACTCCTTCTTACGCTTCCCAAGTAACCCCAACCTATTCTCCACTTCATTCCGACAGATCATATAATAATTCCCCAGATACCCCCCAAATTTCCCGGGAGCTTGATGTTTTTATAAATACTTTACAACAACAATTAATACACCCCAACACCCTTTCAATACATCAACTATCATCCACAATAACATCCTCAAATCCACCTACTCCCACACTCTCCTCAGCTTACACTCCATCATTAGCACAATCATCCACATCCACCGAAACGCTAACTAGCACTCACAGAGCTAAACGCACTTTTAAAAGAAAATTTCCAAATCACCCATTCCCAACCAAACCCGGAACAGCCCGCGAATATATTAATCACTCGCAACACACCAACACGAAAAATTTTCTTGAAATCACCTTACCCTCATTTCCGCAATATACATTAAACACACCTAACGATACTAATGACACACGCAACTTTGTAGATGAACATGTTTTAATACCAATACTTCATTGGACAGCTTATTCTAATTTTACTAACCCCTTTGCCTACCACTAACTAAAACTCATGACAGCATAGAAAAGAACAAAGACATGTTATACAGACTCACCACAACACTAACACCTCGACAATTTACTTACGTTGGATATAAAAAGTTACTAAAAACTTTAACTGCACCCCGAGCTAACGAATTTGCAATAGAATATTACGATCATAATATCATCCGACCTAATCAAGACCAATTTTTAGATGAAGACCGCTTCGCAAACCCGCAACTAACAGAAAAAGTTTTTCATCAAAACATCATACGTATTCACACTAAAATTTTTGATAGAAAGAATGACAACATTATTTCAGAATCACTAGCTAATATCAAGCATACGAGGGCTTTTATGATAAATTTCAGTTATTCTCACTAACCTTTCACTTTCTTTCACCACAGGAACGCAATTTGCACTGTTCCCACGTTATTATTATACGCACTAAACAAACGCACACATATACATACTATCGTTTTATACAAAATCATTTTGATTTACACACCCCATCAGAACAATCTCACCATCGTTTTCAGTTTCTTAACTCAAAGTACACGTCACCATTTTTCCTTAATTTTACATATTGCATCAAAGATACTAACCTCCACGGTATCTTCCGCAACTATGACCCAGTTACCCAAATGTATATATTCTGTCCCATCACGAAGACCTTCAATGCCGAAGAATCCAGACCCTTCCTTATCCCGCATGAACTTATCCAGCCTGTTGAAATACCCATAATAGAATTCATTCACAATACTAAATATAATCATAAAATATCTAACCTCATTCAAAACACACCTTACGAGTTTGCAGTAGGCACCGAAGAACTAAACACCATTAAAGCACGTCAATTGCTTTGGCCACTGCTACAAACTAAAAACATCCTACGCATACTAGCCAAATTACTAACAACATCAGATATGATACACGACATCTTACCACTTGGCTTTTTTCCAGAAGATTAAGGTAAGTATAATTGGAATTACTCTTAACTTATAAATTTAATTTAGTACTAACCATTTTTTATCAATGTTTGATTTATATTTCTAGTCTTCACACCACGATCACCAACAAAACAGAAAAATAAAATAAAAATACAAATTTGTTAAATTATCTTCAAATTCATTAATTTCTTGCACTAAATAATGTAGTAAAATTCATATCAAACGTAGTAATTTCATTTATAAATTATTTCCCCACGAAGCAATAAAATTAAATACGATGAAAATTTATAATTTCAAATTTCCCCAAAACGCAGTAAAATTCAATTTCAAGGCAAAAAAATTGATAAAATGAGAAAGCAGTACTAACCTTTTCAATATTTTCATTCACTCGCACAAGAATTCTGTTCAAACTCACACAGCTCGCCCACGAAGAATTGTTTAAATAATGATTTTAAGTTTCAAGCTTTCACTATAAACAACTCTAACACACGATAACAAGTTTCAGACTTTACTTTAACCCGGTTGGAAAGGAATTATATACTAAACCAAACTAACCAACGCAGCTTACTAAAAACCACAAATCATAAAATAACAGCATGACTAAGAAAAGACAACCAACGATACCCAAACCGGATTAACCCAGTTTAAAAGTGGATAATTTTTTCTTTTGAAGACTATTTTAAAGTCTAATAAAGAAATAATAAAACACAAAAAAGTCGCAAGACAAACCCATACCAAAAACAATTTGATTTTTGAAAAAAGGACACAACCAAAGTAACATAAGAAAGACCAACATAAACCCAACATAAAACGTTATCACATAACAGTACCTCTCAAAGAAACAGCATGCAATCATACTCCCACTCCTGGCCTAACCCACCAGAGAGGACGTCCTGAGCATGCTCTATAGCCGGCCTAACCCACCGCGCTACATCCACGCTTTGTGACCACACTTCTATTTTTAATAAGAGGTACTCAAGGGTGAGTAACTCTTCAAAATAACCGAACTAAAACAAAACGCTTTTGCGAAAACAACTAACTAATATCATGATTAAAAAACCGAATTAACATAATTTTTTAAAATGTAAATCATACTTTGCAGTATCTAGATCATACACAATAACAAAGACGAACATCCAAAGACTAGATGATCCCATCACACTCGAACAAAAGAATGGCTGAAACACAACCGACATGCCGTCCACAATCACAACTCAAAGGATTTAGAGTACGACTTGACTTCGCAGAAAAGGACTTCATTGAACTAGAACAATGACCACCTCGATGATCAAGTATACGTGCAGATCCGAGTTACAAAGCATCCCTTCTACACACGATCTTCACGCCATTCCCAGACGAGGTTGCACACAAAACAAGTTCTCTACATAATACAGAAAAAACTGTCATAGCAAACCATTTCGAAATCGGATTGATTTCATTTGGGATCACAGTCGTTGTCGAATGACGACATAACAATTTCCTATCCATAATTCCAGCGTCCTGGAACGTTCTTCTCCAAGAGGATTCGGATAAGAAAATGATGTTCGCCAAATACCAACGTTCATCATCCATCCTTCAAATTGCAGAGGAAAGATAGTTCTAAAAAACTCTGTAAAACCCGGATGGGTGGAACCTGATCTAAACTACATTTCATTATTGGATGAATTAGATATTTTACCACTGTAAAATATTTAATATTAACCAATCATAATCCATCTAAATAACAACCCACTTATTTGTAAGTGCTGAAATTACTTGTAATTTCAGCACCAGAGAGATTTGAATTTAACTTAGAAATTAGTTGCCTCTCCAAGAGAACTTCAGCTGCCGCAATAAGCCAGTATACTCTAGATCTATTGAGCCTAGCAGAGACTAGTTAAACACCCTGAGACTAGTAGATATAAGAGTAAGATTAGGATCGGTATTAGACTAAGAAGTTGCACGAATCAATCCGGCCGAAAAAAAGATAGCGTGACGAGCAGTCGGTGTACCCTATCCGAAATTACTCTATCAGTTAACCACTTCGGTCTTAACTCATTTTACTGCCCGCAAGTTCTCCGTTCGATCACGTTCTCTAATTAACAAGAATCCTTTAACATCAATAAAATTATTCTAAAATGTCGAGAAACAAAAAATCAAATTGATGTTCTTTAGTGTCCAACGGAAATTTCACATGAGAACGTGGACATGGAGATCGTTTTCTAGAAGCGTGAACCCAAAATTGACTTTTGTAGTTAAAAAGATTCCATACATTCAAAAACTGCATGAAAACTGCATGATTCCCCTTCTTTCACTTATAGAAAAAGTATGGCTAGCTCAAAATCGTATCCGTGAATCTGTCAGAAGTAGATTGATCTTAAATCTCTGTCATGAGGCGACCTTCGGTACCTCATTCTATTCTATTTATTTATGTATGTCTTATATAACTATGTCTTAATTATCTAATTATAGTGCAGTAAATTGATTCAAGGACAAATCTCACCAGCCAAATCGTTTGTCACTTGAGAATCTGAAACGGACAGTTGCGAAAGCCTAATGTGTGAAATCTAGTCGATAAAAACATTCATGTTAATAAAACAATCTAATCAATCTGGAATCGTTATTTCTATATACATTATTCAATTCTACCTATTTATATATCATATTCAATTCAGTACTCGATTTTTACAAAACTGTTTTCCCTACTCCAACTGAGGGAAATCTCATGGCGCAGCCAGCAGTTCCTGTGAATGCAGACAGGACTGACCAACTCGGAATACCACCATTTTGGGCGAAAACATCGGTTAAGCAAGCTTTCATTTGGGAGACTTGGGTGGGACAATTTTTCTTGGCCGTTAGTCTTAAAGACATAATTTCACCGGGGGAGGTGCTCGTTGCCCCTGCAGAGTTAGTTGATGAACCTTACCCGAAGCCTGAAGCTCCCGGGATTGATGAAAAAAGCAGCAGATATAGACATTAGGAATCTTCGTGTCGCAGCAGCTAATAGAAGGATTGACGAGTACAATCAAGAGAGGAGGAGGAAAGGGCCTCGCATTGGACATAACTTGTGTTACCATGAGGCAGAGGCGCGTTTGAAATCCCGACTCTTCTTCGCACCGGGAAATGAAGGAAAAAAAACAAGTTTTGGATTCTTACCCTCATCTGGACCTCAATACTTGCTTTTTATTGATTTTCACAAATGTTGCGAAGATCTTTTCAAGGCAGAGCGGGACTACAAAGTCGAAAAATCAAGTTGTATAAAACAATTTTCATGCAGGATAATGATTCATTTTCCTCGTTCTATGCGCGACTTAGCGCTCAAACTGCACTGTGTAATTGGCCGCTCGATCAGGAAAGGGCGACGTTGAAGGATTTGTTCATTAGCCGCATTCTCGATGTGGAGGTTCAGCGGCAACTAATCAGAGCGAAGAGTAATCTTGATGATACGCTGCAATTGGCATTGGAGAATGAGAAAGAGGCTAAGACCTCAGAACAATTTCAGAAGCTACTCCCGCATAACAACACTTCTTCCCACAATACCAACTCTATTCGAGTCAAGCAGGAACCGACTTCGTCAGCACAGCAATTCAAGAATCAAGGAACCAGCAGCCCTGGAGGAGGTGTCAACCGCCCTAATCAACGTCAAAGTCAAAATAAACCGTGTTATTTTTGCGGTAACCCGTTTTCCTTCAAACACCGCCGGTCGTGTCCGGCCAGAGAAGCTACTTGCAATGCTTGTAAAAAGAAGGGCCATTTTGCTATGGTGTGTAACACTACGAGGCGACGTGTTAACATGGTACAACATGAGGAGGTATCTTCCGGTCAAGAGTGCAACCTAATTGACGTAAACGGTGACAGTGAGCCGGAATATGGAGTCATGGCATTAGACGTTGTACAGATTAACAATGTAGAACTCTTTTTTCTATGCTACGGTGGACACTGGCAGTCTCGTGTCTTTCTTGAACAAGAAAAAGGCGGAAATACTAATGAGGCGGCTTCCCAACGTTAAGTTTGAGGACGTCGGGAGATATCCGTTAAGTGTTACTTATGTTGATTATAATAAGAAACAAATTAAACTGTTTGGATCACTAGAAATCCCAATTACGTCGAAGGGATGGAAAATCAACAATGCGTGTTTCTTAATTTTCCAAAAATGGTACAAGGAATTTGCTCGAGCTGAACCTTCATGAGCAATTGGGAATTGAAACGGTGCAACGCAAACCGGCGGAATTTAGCTTGGCGGGAGAAGAGCAGGAATTGGATCCGACCTCACAGTTCTGGAGGGATTATTTTGTCAAAAGGTACCCTAATGTGTTCAGCAGGCTGGGGAGGTCAAAAAATCATAAAGTATTTACAAACTTTAAAGACCCTTTGGTGCCTAGACAGGTTAAAGGCCGAAAAATCCCTATACATTTAGAAGATCGAGTCACGGCTGAGATTAAAAAGTTAATCAAAGACAAGCACATTGAAAAATTAAAAAAGTGTACCACGGATCATTTCATCGCGCCTGTAGTACTAACAACAAAAAAGGACGGGTCTATAAAACTTGCACTCAATGCTAAACCCATGAATGCCAAATTCTGGCAAAACAAATATCAAATGCCTAATATGCATAAATTAATTGACTCGGCGGCTCAAATCATCACTAGACACACCTGGGAACGTGTGGTTTACTTCTCTTGACCTTAAATTACGCTTTCAGTCAATTACCTTTATCGGAGCTAACCAGTAGTCATTGTAACTTTAGTATTTTGTGTGGAGAGGCAACAGGCACATATCGATTCAAGACTGGTTTCTACGGACTGACGGATATGCCTACGGAATTCCAGAAAGCGATGGACTGTACTTTACTTTACATATGTTACCTTGATGATATACTGGTTGTCACTAAAGGAAGAGTTGAGGATCATAATGTACTGGTCGAAAGAGTCTTGAATCGATTGAATGAAGAAGGATGGGCGTTGAAACTTAGTAAACGTGAGTTCTCAGTTAACAAGTTAATCTGGTTGGGGTACGAAATCGATGAAAACGGTTACGCCCCGAAATTCTCGAAAATAGAGGCTATTAAATACCTGTTGCCACCAAAAACATTTAAGCAGTTAAGATCGTTTATGTTGAATCTCAATCACCTTCAACGTTTCTTTCCGGATTTGCACAAATATACAGTCGCATTCAGAGCTTCGTTAAAAGCGGAGAATGGGAAATCCTTTTTGTGGGGGGAAGGGCAAGATCATGGGTTCCAGAAAATTTAAACTTCATCGCAAACATCCCTTATTTGTTTCACTATGAGGCTTCAAAAGCTTCTCGAGTTAAATGTGACGCAAGTCACAGCGAGCTGCGGGCTTGTTTGGAACAAGAAGTGGAACCAAATGTTTGGGCCCCGATAGCGTTTGCCTCTAGGTTTCTAGACTCCGCGGAAATCAAGTATAGTACCAATGAGTTAGAGCTTCTGGCCATTATAAGATCGTGTGAACATTTTCGTACATACTTACTTGGTCAGCGTTTTGTTATCCTAACTGATCATAAGGCAATTATTTCCGCCCTCAACGAAACGTATGGCAAGAAATTTTATCAGTCAGGACTCTCTCGTTGGGCGGACGTCTTATTCCGTTCGATTATCAGATCGAACATATACCCGGTTCATCCCTGGGTATTGTGGACTATATGTCAAGACACCCGACTTTTGAAGCACCTTTACCGTCATAACATGATGAATTGTTTGTCATTAAATCTATTCAAGCTTTTCATAAGGCTTTAAACTCGATTAGTACTCAACCCAGATCTCAAATAGTGCCGGTTGGGCAAGTTTTATAATGTAACCAATTTCAACCAATCAGATCGTTTGGTAAAACTGGAGGCAATATCAGCTACCTCTTAACTAAAGCGGTGGACCAATCACCAGTTGCTTCATATCACCAATCGCATGTTGGCAATCAGTTTCGCTCGTCGTTCCTAGAGGGCTTCGAGAATAATACTCTACTTGTTAACCAATCCCTCAAGGGTATGCTAATTTATCGTCGAAATTTCTCGCCGCTAGAGGGCGTTAATTTGTGCTCTCAATCAACCAGCCAATCAAATGTTACTATGCAAAACTGTGATTGTACATCATCGCCGCGAGAGGTCGACTTTTCATGCTCTGGTAGATTCGACCAATCACAGCTCAAAATGCAAATGAGATACGCTAAACCGGAAGTTTTTGATCAAACTCGTTGTCTCCGACCTTACATCTCAGAATTCTGTCACGCTATGGATACTTCAAATAATCTTGCTCAAAACACTACTCTACTCTAAATAACTCTAATACTTCAACAATACTATTGACTTCGCAAACAACACGATCGAATAAACAAATCTCCTCAACTTTGTTGAAAATTTTTCTACCAGTTCCCCTAATTTTCGTACCTCAAATCAACAAAGACCGGGACTCTCAATAGTTCGCCCTATGAATCGCCCGAGCCGCTTTGATCAGATACGGACCCGAAACCTTGCCAGAATGCGACATTCACGAGAAAGTTTTGTGGTCACCCGAGGACAGACTACAGGAAAGGCCCTTGCTCAGTTCCTCGACAACTGCCGGAGGCAGAGACAGACGAAACAGGCCAGACAAGGGGATACACTCAGACTGGGGGTTAATGCCATCAATAACCACAAACCGTTGGTCACTCCGGACAAAAAGAAAGTGGTCCGGTCACCAGGCTTGTTCGATGTGGATCTGCTGGGAGATCTGACAGGGGAAGACCCGTTCCTCGGACCGATGAGGACTGCGATCATCAATAAGGATGTGCAATCCTTCAACAAACAGGGGCGTACATGGCTCAATTTTGGACGAAGGCGGCGGTGGTGAACAATTGTGTCCTGATAGACAATAAGTTGGCCATACCCAAACAATTACGAAGTGCCATTCTGATTCGACTCCATCGCTCGCATCCTGGCCAGGCGGCCATGATGGACGCCTCGGAATATATATGGTGGCCATTTCTCAATCGCCAAATTGTCAACCTCTGCGAAAAATGCCCGGAGTGTACTTTATTTGTTAAGAACATCAAAACTTCAGCGACTTATAGCTCTGCTAAGCCGTTACCAGCGTTGTCCGCTCCGAATCAAGAATTGCAACTTGATTTTGCGGGTCCGTTAATAGATGATGAGAAGGGGAAAATGTACATTCTAGTCGCAATAGATCGTTTTTCTAAGTTTCCATCGGTGATGTTAAATAAGACAACCAGTGCGAAAAAAAAATAGTCAAATTTTTACGATCGTATATTCGTAATCATGGCATACCGGAGAACATTAGAACAGATCACGGATGTGGGTTTAACTCTAATGTTGTTAAAGATTTTTGCAAACGTAGAGGCATAAAACATATCCTCACAGCGGTGGGGGATCATCGGAGTTGTGGGTTGGTAGAGAGATCGATCCAGACTATTAAACGAAAGCGGGAACAGAAAAACTAGATCCTAATTTTAAAAACTTGAAGTCGACTTTACATCAAATTTTTGACGATATTCGGAAAACAAAGCATTCTACGTTAAAAATATCTACGTTAACATTACCGGAGAAATAAAAAAACATTAAAAATTCTACGTTAACATTATCGGAGAAAGCCTAAGACTGAGTTTTCGATAGCGCGTGATAATATTGTTCATTCTCCTACTTCAGCGCAACGACTGGAGAGAAACCTCCTAAAACCGGAGCAGCGATTGAGCCAAGACTACAGCCGCGATAGGGCTAAAGTTGTACCCAGAGGAGAGTCACACAGTCCGGAAATCCCTTGTAAATTCAAGCCACTCTTTGGTGTGGGCGAGCGTATAGCGGACAGTCAACCTTACAAGGCCTTGGAGATCCTTGCAAAGGCGGCTAACACCTGGAAGCAGTGAAAACAGATTGTGCCTCCACAACAGGGACAAGAACTTCTCCGCGAAATGGCGGCTCGTAATAGTGACCTCGCAAACTCGCTGAAATCGGGGATCACAAAGGGAACTCTGCGCTTTTACGACAACGTTCGAGATACTTCAGCGCTAGCACTCTCGCAATCCCAGCGAATGAACGTGTCGTCCTCTTCGAGGCCCAAAAGACTCTCGAAAGCACGTAAATTAGAAAAATTAGTTTTACAAGATCCTCTAAGAGTCAAAATCTTTCGGAAAGTTCTTGATCAAAAATCGGGAAAACCTCTGTTCAAACTAGCAAAAATCATGATTACTCGTGTTACGGACCATACTTACATTACTGACAAAGGGAAAGTCTATCGGAAAGAGCACTTAAGCCTAAAACATAATTTTAACCACCCTAAGTTTTCAGCTACGTCTAGCACGGTGGGAGAACGATTCCAGAGACGTATTGCTCCTCGGCCTCAATCTCAGCCATCTACTTCTCCAGCTCCGAGGCAAATAAATGAACCTTCGAAGTGCAAGGTGATTGAACTAACGGGAGAGTCATCAAGCGAGGACTCCTCAATCACCGGACCCCAGCTTGAGTTGGTGGAGGCACCTGTTACAGCGCCTCAAGGATTGGCTCCCGCGGATGCTACATCGATAGCTCCGGTTGTCCATCCTATGACAAACCCCGCCTCGACATCTTCCACAGGAGTTCAAGCAACGCCTCAAGATCCGCCCATCACACTTCAGCCACTGATTTCAGGCACCCGTTCCTCAGGCTGCCGCTCAGGGCCCGGCGGCTACTGGTCATACGGAGGAGGGCAATCCAACTACCTAATCTACGAGCGATTTCACCAGATCTTCTGGTCGGCCCTAGAAACCGACGAGGTTTTATGGCGATCCTCTTCGCCATTCGGTTAAGAGCGTAAATGAATCCGACCCTGCGGAGTTTTCGTTTGCAACAACCAACCCCAGAACAGTCGATTACTACACCTTTCACCCCGATTGTTCGAAAAGGATCGCAGTTGCCTTTTCCCAGAACTAAAGAGCAAGCTACTTCGTTTAAAAAAATCAGAATAGACGAGCATGATAAAACCTCTTAAACTTAAAACTCACAAAAACTACGCTCTATTTGGAT